GGCCAGGACGCTGCCCTCGGAGTCGCCGGTGAGCAGCGCGCCCGCGGCGCCGAACGCCAGGCACTGGATGAAGCGCGGCTTCCGGTGCGCCTGCGGGCGCGGGGCTGCGGCGAGCCGAGCGGAGCCGAGCCCGGCACGGAGCCCGGCACGGAGCCCGGAGCAGAGCCCGGAGCAGAGCCCGGAGCAGAGCCCAACCCGGATCCCATCCCAGAGCCCAGTGTGGATCCCAGCCTGGAGCCCAGTGCGGATCCCAGCCCGGAGCAGAGTCCAACCCGGATCCCAGCCCAGAGCCCAGTGTGGATCCCAGCCCGGAGCCCGGAGCAGAGCCCGCCCCGGATCCCTTCCCGGAGCCCAGTGCGGATCCCAGCCCGGAGCCCGAAGCAGAGCCCAACCCGGATCCCATCCCAGAGCCCGGAGCAGAGCCCACAGCAGAGCCCAGAGCGGAGTGGAGCACGGAGCCCAGAGCAGAGCCCGACCTGGATCCCATCCCGGATCCCATCCCGGATCCCAGCCCAGATCCCAGCCCAGATCCCAGCCCAGATCCCAGAGCGGATCCCGGCCCGCCTCCCAGCCCAGGTCCCGGATCGCCTCCTATCCTGGCTCCCATCCCAACTCCCATCCCGGCCCCTGGAGCAGATCCCATCCCAGCTTCCATCCCAGCTCCCATTCTTCCCATCCCAGCTTCCATCCCAGCTCCCATCCCAGCTCCCATCCCCGCTTCCACCCGTGTCCCATCCCTGTCCCATCCTGATGTCTCCCAGCCCTGTCCCAGCCCTGTCCCATCCCAGTTCCCATCCCAGCTCCCACTCGATCCCATCCCAGTTCTCATCCCTGTCCCATCCCGGTCTCTCCCGCCCCATCCCGTCCCCGTTCCCATCCCGGCGCTCACTCCGAACACTCCCTGCTTCTTGGTGAGCGCCGCGCCGCTCCAGCTCCAGAAGTAGAGGTGGGATCTGCCGCCGGTGACGATGCTGCCGCTGTCCAGCGGGTTGAACTCCACCGTCAGCACCGACTCGTTCGTGCTCTGCGGGCACCGGGGCCGTGGAAAGGGGCCCCGGCGTCCGGGAGAGGGCCTCGGGATCCCGGGAAGGGTCCCGGAATCTGGGGAAGGGCTCAGGCGTCCAGGGAAGGGGCTTGGAGTCCAGGAAAGGGCCCAGGGATCTGGGAAAGGGCCCAGGGATTCAGGAAAGGACCCTGGGATCCGGGAAAGGGCCTCGGCATCTGAGGAAGGGCTCTGGGATCTGGGAAAGG